TTGATTTGTACCTAACCTTGAAAAAATTCAGGCTGGTTACTTGATTCATTCCCCGACCTTTTAAATTTTAAATCCGTGACGGTGACGCTGAACGTCAAAAGCCATCACTCAACTTTGAAGTACCCTCGAGCTTAGTATTCTTGACCGGCTTTGTGCGGCGCTGTACGGCAGGGTCTCGCTCCCCGATGTTTCGTTACACGAATGGCATTCTGTACTGTCATGTCGCCAATTTTTGAAGTACTCTGCCAAACCCACCATGAAACGTTTTTTGTCTTCCAGCGCCACTCCCGAGTTCCGCTTCGACATTTTCTCAGCTTTGTGTTACCGCTCCGATGAAAAAGGGATAAAACACGGCGCTCAATTTCTCTTCCCGCCCCTGCCTCTCCCGGACATGATCAATATTCGAGTTGAGGTGTGCTATTTACCGGTCGACGCATTAGTTTTAAATGTTGACAAGAAAGACAGGGTTATTTGGGTCAGCGGGTCCGAGCTTGGTGGCTTTGTTGCTCCCCGGTACCTGAAGCTAAAGAAGGAGTGGGACCGTACGGCGTTTAGTAGTCAGCGTTTGTCAAAATAGTGTGATCATTCCAACTGATAGGGTTGCACAGTTCAAAACAGAAAAAAAGATGGCGCCATGTTCGGGATTTTGGTATGTCTGATGGAGGGGGGGGGGGGGTTTCAAGGGTGAACTTTTTGCGTCTGCGGTGCCGGTTTGTGTAAGGGCATCGGAGAACATTGAAGCTGTTGAGATTTTTCTATGCCAACCTGCGCTTTGTCAGTGATACCTGCCATATGAAGGAGAGGTCGGCAGCCCCGGCGTCTTTGCTGTATGTGTTTGGGGAGGCTATACCTATTTGTTCAAAGGTTAGATAGTAGAGGTCTATCTACCATCATTCTGTTCATGGATTGTTCGATCAAGTTCTAGTGGTATATAGTCGCGGACATGACCCTAGGTTTTTAACCAGTACTATTATAATGGCGCCCAAACTTATGAATCAATCTACCTTTGTGAGGATTTGTGACCCATGTAAGGATGTGAGTGGCTTGATTATTATTTTTTTCATGCAGTGTCAATTGCAACGGCGACCGTTACGCTAACCCTCTCTCTTCCTTGTTGCAACGAGTAATTCTACTGAATAAAGAACAGTAGTTGTCCCCGAGATGGAAAAAGTGGGACTTTGAATGTAACGACCCTTGAAATTCACCCGCGATTTCGAAATATTTGGAGCCAATCTCGGGACGTAAGTTGAAGAATGTAAGAGAGCACATCTCAAAAAGTAGAGAAGTTCAGAGAAACAGGTTTTGGTTTAGAAGAAGAGGTCTAATTCGGCCGTTGAGCTGCGAGACAGTATAGGTTTATAGGAGGAAGGAAGGAATGAAGAGCGCCCGACTGACTTTGTATAAGTCTGACATTAATCTAGGTTCAAGTTGCGCCTCCAAGTTGGTCGTTGGGACCCGACGCGCGCCGCCGTCGGGAGGTTGAAATTGACGATGAAACCGTCTGGGAGCCTCAGGTAGGTCGTATGTATGGAGACCCGTCGGGAGGTGCAACTGAGCAAAAACTCGAACTAATCGGGATTTCAGAAAAAGTGGGAAGCAGTGGACCCTTTTAATTTGAACATATCCACGTTAAAGATGCTGTCATATTGTTCCCTAGTGCCTTGTGAGAGGGACGATGAGCCTCCGAAGATGCGCTACTAGCCGGACCTAGGTAAGCAGCGGGAACGTTAAGTTGACCAAGGAAGTTCAGATGTTTCAGCCGTAGATTGCGGCGTGTAGACATTTTGGGATAGAGCAGTTAGATGCTTGAGGGGAGTCGCCCACTGGTCCATCGAGGAGAGTCGAAGCATGTTAGAAGTATAACTCTGAGTGGGTGCCCGAAGACGGGTATTTATGCTCAGATTCACACACAGCTAGTAATTTATTATGAGACGATGTCGAAAAAAACAAAGATTGGCCAAAGCGGGAGAATACCCACATGTTATTTTTCCATGACACTATACACGCTTTAGCCTCGTGCTTGTTTGGCGCCCACCTACTCGGGATACAGTGGTGTAGGTATTTCGAAACCTATCGATGGCCCATGAATTGACGAGGGATGCCTCGAGGTGTTGAGACTTGCGTGTATAATTACACCTAGCCCTAAAAACATGGCAACCATATAGTGCATCATTTGTTCGGAACCTTCAGTCTGAAGATGGGTCCCGCAGTCAGAATTAGGTCAAGAGCAAAGATACTGGACGAGCCTAGAGGGGGCAATACTGAAGGTGCAGTAGTTAGGGCTTCAAGCTTCACAAAAATGGTGTAGCTCGGATAAATGAATGATTTCTGTTGCCATTGGTCGTCGACCAGTGAACAGGCTTTGATTGCTCTGCCGTTATGCCGGATGCCGAACATAAGTGGTCGGGGAAAGCGTGATGTGACAGGTACCGGAAAAAATGCGGTTTACATGGCCGGATTAGGACATTAATTTCGAAATTTTATTTTTTAGCAATCTGAGATCTACGCCTGCTTAGCTTCCTTTGTTTTTCTCACCACGGTATATAAGTTCCCCAGCCCTTCGGAATGGATCCACTACGCTCACTGCGCCCTTTCCACAAGCCATGTCCTATTCGCCCTTCTTCTTGTCAGGCTTTCAGCATGCCTCATCATCTACTATGGCCCAATCCCATGGCTCCATTTCCTCAAGCGTTAGTTCCTCACAATCTGCCAGGGCATCGAGGGTGCGGAGGCAAAGATCGAGTGCAAACTTGAACCCATCAGCGAAGTGAGTTCACGTCGACAATACCTTACTCCGTTCAACATATTAATCCATATTTCCTTAGCTCCCTACCCCCATCCACATCTCTTCCAGAGATTCCTTCAAGTCCCACCCCGAGTTCGTTCATGTTACCCAACCAATCCAGAACTCCACCGTCGAATGTCCCTCACTTCGCAGCGGATTATTCCAACGCGAACATTCGTCGCTCTATTCCTCTCACCACCGTTCTTCGGTCAAACTCAACAGTTAGTACATCCACTGTCTCGACTCGATATCGTCGTAACAAACGCTCTGATGCTCTAGAACGGTTAGAAGGACGTTCCTCTCAATGGTATTTTAAAGCCAGGGACTCGTGGATCCGCTCTCGTCCTGTAAGGAAACGGAGCCGCAGAGACTTCATGAGCATGAGCGATGATTCCGACTCCGACGAAAACGATGACTCTTTCATCGACGTTGGACTCAAAATTCATCCCCACAGTCTTCCTAGCACCTCCTTATCGATGACCCCTCCTACACGGAACTCTTTTTGGTTTTCCCCAAAAAGATCATCGAAACTCTTCACCTCCCCATTACATTCCTTCATCGACCTAGCTGAGAAAGATACACGCGCAAAGAGGAGGGGAGGAGATTCATCGTGATATCGCCGTCATCGTCAGCGCGAATCTATTAATCACACCTGTTTTCTTGTTCATCCTTTCGACCTTCTTCCTGTATATTGTTTATCACTGCATTCCCCCGCATCACCCGATTGACAACCCACTTGTATTATTATCACTCGCAACACAGTCTCGTCAACCATTTCTTGCGCACCTTCCCGACTCCTCGTACTCGTAATTTTATAACTTGCTTATCCATAACCTATCCCACTCTCTTGTACTAACTTACATACCCTCCTACATCCAGCTCTCGCTTATCATTTTGCTCTGTTTACATCTTGTACAGATACCTGCATTCCCGTTGGAGATAGGACTTGCAGCGTTCAGACTTTCCTTTGTTGTTGTACTTAATCATACCGCCCCTTTAGCCGCCAATACCAGTCTTCCCCGTGAATTGTTTTATTGCTCCACTCCGTTAAGACCCGCAAGGCTGTTCGTTCGGGAAACGACCAACGCCCCAGCCCTGAACAAAGCGTGTCATTCGTCATTCTTCAAAATGATCACTGTCTGCATTCTACTAACCAAGGTCCGTCGGCTAGTTTCATTCGTTACGCTCAAATCTTTGATGGGTCTCGCAACTTACCACCGACAATCACAAAACCCCCGCTGACGGTGTCAAATACTATTACATACATAGCATTCCATCCACTTACCTGAGGACGTCGCGATGGGCTCGGATGGGCTCGGATGGGCTGCGCAACCGCGCGTTTACATGTGAACACGGAAACATGTCGAAAAACATACTGTTCAGACTTGTGAAAAAAATTGATAACTTTTTTGTCAATCTAATAAGGACACAAGTACGTACGTCCCGGATAGACATGCTGTTCAGATAGACGTCTCTCCATACCCATTTTTCTGTCCCGAAGACCACGGTTTAAATCCGGAGACGAAGCCGAACTTGGTCTTTTTATTTTGGGTCTTCCTGACAGGACATATGGGCTGAAAGTTGTTCAGGTGACCCCGCATTCAGGACCCATAAGGGCCATGACCATTTTTGCTTGGGATAAGCGGGGAAAGCGCTGATACGGTGACCTTGATATGACGCTGAGTCGTACCTCATCGTACGCGTAAATAAGTACGCGGCGGAGAGGGGGAGAGGGCGATCGGGTGGCGGTTGTCAAGTGGGCATATGGGGCGAGCGAACAAGAATATACGGTATTAGCAGATATTGGAGGATTGAGGTGGGGGAGGGCACGTCTTGTTCGATTTCTATCGTCAATACCATTTGCAATCCGTTTCGTATCAGATCCTCAGAGTCCTTGCTTGTAGCCTTGAAGAAACAACAGCAAAAATGATTTGGATCGATATATCGGGTAGTGATTCCTCGCAAACATCGAACTAGCGGTCCGATCAAGCGGTGTGGCGGCTGAGAACCTACTCCAGTGCCACAGATCTAGTGCCACCCAGCCTCGGCAGTCCATTCGTTGCGAATGACTTGTGTTATGAAATCAAATGTCAATGCCTCGACTAGTTCCTTAGATTTGACTTGGTTATCAAGACCAGAATAATAAGGAATTCGAGTGATCTGGTTGGGTTCAAAAAATGTTCAACAAATCAAAAAAACAAAGAACCAAAACAAATGCCCCCTGGCTGGATTGAACAACCGACCTCATCATTCGATCAAATTGTACGAGTGACGCGCTCTACCACTGAGCTAAGAGGGCTGATAAATATCTGCTTTATACAACATAACCCCTGCAATCTAAAAAATGGCGATACCGGCACGGCTTGCCCCAATTAGCGAGGTGTCTTTCCCTCTTTCTCCCTCAACGCCCGCATTCCCGATTTTACTCGAAAGCATCGAAACCTCCTTCATCTCTTGTCCATCTCGCCATGGGCTCCCTTCTGGCCGTGGAGGCTATCGTGATCATCAATACTCAAACTCTTTTTGACTCTTTGTTGACCGTTTGACTCCAAATCTGACAAACTCCCCGCTTGGAGTACTCTCGATCCCATGACCTACCCATACACGGCTGCAGTAAATTACTTGACAACAACCGCAGCTGGTTGATGGAGATTGAAGATGAAATGGTCTACGCTGAGGACTTGTAAGGATCCGCCTCTCTCGGTTCATTTAGGACAATCTATTCCTATCAGGTCGCATGTCTTCTTTGTTTTCCATCGAATGCGAGTACGGCTTGGCTGAACTTGCAGTTCCTCGTACAGATCCAAGAAACCTTTGAATTTGACCTTTAGGACAACCTCAGGGATGTTAGAAGGACATCGAATAGGGATCACTGGTAAACCTCCCGCACCAGCACTTTTATCTTGTTCAAATCTCCATTCACTCTCTGTCACTCTCGATACCTTTTCATGGACTCTAGCGGTGTTATGGGTCGTTTTGACATAACCAGACAAATATGCAGGACCATTAGAGAAAAGACACATCACCGAGCTACCGGGCTGGCGCAATGCAAAATTATGGTAGACGTCGGTCCCGCACTAGGCTTAGTAGTGAGGTCGATTTTTCATGGTCCTCAATGATCGACCGTTGATGTCTTTTTCCAGTGACTTTTCTGATTTCCTTGCTCAACTACCTGACAAGTCGGGACCCACTTACTCGCCTTATTTCACTCACTGTGGCAACATCGAAGACCGAAGTACAAGACAAGCTCAGGAAAGTACGTACTCGAGCAATTATAATTTATGTACACTTACTCAACTTCAAACTCATGATACAGTCGCGGGAGTCTCTCGGGCAACGATATCGACGCTTTTCGAGTCGTTAAATATTTTTCCGGCCTATGCTCGGACTTTTCAAATGCTACATCCGAGGGGATGAATCTACTTGACAGTTTCCGCTGGATTGAATTCATACCTGGTACCACGGCCTTGACTAGACGACTGGCAGGCTCATACTACGTCCACACTCAGGTGTCATGGACGTTCATGTAAACACGAAAGTTGACTCTTTTCTTCGACGTCCCGGAGGGAGATCAAATGTACTGACGTCGACGTCGTTCGTTAGAGTCCATATTCACAACTGACTGAAGTTAGCCCGGATGTCAAAGCTCCTCGGGCCAGGAAGAACATGCCACAATTTAACTCGTTTAGTTCTTGAAATGGCACCTATGACAAGATCAATTATTCTTGGACTGCGGTGATACTGTCGAAAACTTTCTGCCATGAAACTTCGGTGGAAATACACGTACGGCATATGGAAACCAAGTGTGGGGACCAATGTTCATCGATCATTAATAACCACGATACGATTTCTTTCAATACTGTTCATCACCTCAAGGCCCGGGTGCGTGATACGTTCTCTCCCCCCTGTTTGTTGCGTTATGGAAGCTGAACCTGTAGCAGATCGTTTTGATAGGTCCTGTCAATTCTCACAACCCGAATTCATTCTAATACCTAACAGCGCAATCATTTGCATTTTGTTTCAAGCCTTCCCGGATCGCCAACATAAGAGTACGTATAGCTGATTTGCGAGTGTATAATTTTCGGAAGAACCACGCTGGCTACTAGCTTTTAGCCTTCTGTTGAGAACTGGCAGAAGCCCGGCCCAGGGTGTACCGTAATGGCTGCAGTATGGTAAGAAAATCTGGAAGTTCTGTGTCGCGGGACGTAGCCGTGACACGATGCATTGAACAAATGAAACCTCCTGCTGTTCAGTCGTCTCGAGCCATGTGACATGGTAAGTAAGGATAGGCCACGACTAATGGACGGCAAGAATGCGGGCCTTGAAGCTTGAAGTGTGATTCGATTGCTAGTGATCAAGAGAACCTGACGACGTAAGATGTGCGGGTTTTTCGGTGAGAAGCTCGACGTTTATAATGAACGGTGACAATGTGGACAGTGCACACGTAGTCTTTAGCCCAAAAACACTAGGGGTACCGTAGTATTCTATTAGACTTGCGGTATTCAAGATTTTCGGTGCCAGAACAATTTTAAAAATTATCCTTACCTGTAATGGTTCATGGTGACCCATTCTACCCATCTTAATTTCGGAATGAGTGGTATTTCATGGGGGCTCGATCATTGGGCAAGGCCGCACAATCCGAGATACAGTTGGCGTTGTCTCGAAGAAAGCTGTTTGGGTTTGTGGTACAAGTCAAGAACCTACGTCTTTCGTGATCGGTGAGGGGGAGACTTGTGTGGGAGTCAGATCTTCAAACGCTGTGTCGACTCTATCCACCTTGAAGGCAGGTAAGTTCCTTCGTCCCCTTGGACTTCCGTTAAACCACGTCTTCGGATTCTCCCGAGATATGATACAATAATGTGGGTTTCGGGAAGTCTCGCCTGAGTATAAGATTAGAGTTTTCAAGGTGAGAAGATTAAAGTTCAGAATGTCGGAATACGGCAAGGAAGAACATACGCAGTGTCAGTGTAAAATTCTTGAAGATGCATTTGGTAAAGTTGAGCCTGAGCCAAGGTCACAACACTGGAATCACCGAAAGGGAATCCCAGCCCAGGGAAACTTTATCAACTTTGAGAGCTGGTGACGACGTGATATGTGATTGTGGCGGTGGCTTGGGAATCGCAGGATCCGAGAACGCCAAAGTGAGCACAGATTGTGCCTTCTCGACTTAAGCTTAACTCGAAGGAGATGGAGTTTTTTTGATTTTTCACGGTGATATGAGGGATCCAGAATATGATATCTCGACCTCAGGTGAAGAACCTTTCTCGTGAGCTGACCAAGGTGGCTAAACTCGTTCCCGCATCCCCAGTCGGGCTAATTATGTACTACTTGGAGCCCCACCTTTGAGGACGTCGGCGTTGTAGATTGTTGTGGTACGATTTGAGAAGAGAGGCTTTGATTTTTGCCCTATGTATTTACATAATATATCAGTGCATCGAGCTGTAAGGATGGCGGTGGTTGAACGTTTGCCTCAGGTTCTCATCGAAAAAAAAGGGAGCGTCATGCGAATCGTACCTAGCTACATCATGTAGAGGCCCCCTTCAGGTTCTTCGGTTTGCTTACAGGAACCATTTTTCTGGAACACGTCGAGAGTCTCGAGGGCGAAAGTGATGGCGTCGCTGGCAGTCTGGCCTCGTCCAGTCCAAGCTGTGAGAGAGTTGCTTCCGCCTTACAATGCCGAGCCGTTCAAAGATGGATCAGTGACAAGTCACCAAATTTCCCATTGAGAATTAGAAGGAGACGAAGTGGGAAACTCGATAAGAAGCAGGAAAATCATTTAGGAAAAGCGTAATGATGAGGCGCATCAAGGGACCCAGCCTCGGTATGTAGCATCGGAGTCGACTACGGATGTAGAGATCGACTACTGTAATGTAAGAGATAATTGCCTCTTGACCGCGTAGGAGGAACTGGAAGGCTTGTTGCTGGAGGGCAATCGACTGAACGGACGAGCGTGAGATCAGATCATTCCAGATTCGGAAACCGGGGAAGCGTCGGGAGGGCGACAGGTTAGCTACGAGGTTCCTGTTTCGCATGTCACAGTCGCCGGTACATAGACTTGGGCTCAAATGACCACGAGTGCAGGGTTAGATGTCAGTGGAAGGGAGCTCGAGGAACAATGAAAAAGTTCGTTCGAATGTCTTGTAAGACCGATACGCCCGAAAAATCAAGGACTACAAGTCCGAGTCGCCAGGATAAGTTCTTCAATTCTGATGCATTTACGATTTTCTGGTCAAACACCATGCCACGAAATCGAAATTTCCAGCGAGGGAATCAGATCGAGTCAACTGGGAGGGTGTAGGTACTAGATAGGTCCTCTGCTGGACACCATTTCGGTGCTCGCAGCAAATAGCCCCTTCCGTCGCCCTGTTAACGTTCAAATCTACGACCACCCATAAATTATCCAGGGTATGAGGGTGTATGGAACAGAGGAGCGGAGTTTTATGCAAACTGTAACGCGCCTTCTGACAAACCCACAAACAGGCATTCCTTCTGATGTCGAAGCTAGGGGGAACACCGGAAGCAGCTCTTCACTCATCCATAATTATTTATTTGACTGCCTCTTTCCACGCATATCATATGGCGAACGTTAGTCAATGTGGTAATGGTGGCCACCATCTACACCATCTACCAACATGGCCTTTCGCAGTAGAATGAGTCAAACTGAGGAGAACGCGATTGCTTGGGGTCGGCTCGACGATGTTCTCGGCAGCACCGATACCACATCAGGTAAGATGTCGAGGATTGATACTTGCAAGATGCATCACGGTATGTAAGTACCTCGGTTGCAGGTTCACGGTACCAATGTAATTACCCAGCGTTGAGGGGTCGAGGGGTGAGGACTAGTACTCGTGGGTTGCTTGTGGAAGATACCGGCGATCCGTTAATTGCAAGGACACATCCTCTCGATCAGAAGACTGGGTAACTGACAGCGCTGTAATCTTAGACCGTCGACATGAATCACTCCTTATGTATGAGTAAAGACAACGAGAGCCGCTTAAATCCACTTACTTCAGCAAGATGAATGTAACGCCAGACAAATCCCTGTCTTTGATCCTGATACTCTTTCTATGGTCCATTGAAATAGAGGGAGCGCTCTCGACCTAAGGACCGACGATCGACAAGCCAGCAAAGCCAGTGTTCCTCTTCTGCATACAGAGCAAGCGATCGAATGTGAGACGTAGAGGAATGTAATTACGATACACGTTCAGTAAACCGGTGCGTAGTGTGGGACTAGAGGTACTTCCTCAGAGACCAGCCACCGTAGTCTCCGGCCTCTTGTCGAAACAACCACCCAACACC